GACTTGTCTGGCCTTGACGTCGCCGCGACTTGTCTTGACGGTCCATGCGGAAGAAGATGCAGAAGAAGAAGCAGGGTCGTCGACTTGTCGTGCTGGCGATTCGACAACCTCATGCACGAGGGTGTTGGTCTGCAAATTAAGGCCCTTGGCCAGGTTGAGCTCCAGCATCTTGCACACGAGCAGATACGGGTTCTGCGTGTGCGCCGGGTACGTGACGGCGCCGACGACGCCGGGGATGCCGACGCGCCGACTGGCCGCCTCGCCCTCAAAGACCTCCTTGACGCCCCGGGGCGCGTCGTCGGGTCTCCGCTGCTGGACCTCGCGGCGTAGCTGCAAAACCTCCTTGACCTTGGCCCACGCCTCGTGCGTCAGGTACGAGTCGGCCGTGTCGAGATCCTCAAAGTCGCAGTCGACGTGGTGCTCGCGCACAAAGGCGGCGAGGTCGGCCACGTTGTCCTCTTCCAGACAGACAAACTTGAGCGCCTCGTCCTCGCCAAAGGCGTCGGCGTAGCGCTTGTAGCTGAGCCACCAGCCGGCGCGGCATAGTCCGCCATTCCGGCCCGATGCGCCCGAGGCCGCGGTCCGGGCCTCGAGCATGAGGATGCTGAGTGACGGGTCGCGGGCGTAGAGCTTGTACGCTACTGCTGCCCCCGTAATGCCGGAGCCGACGATTACATAGTCTAGCGTTTCGGATGGCAGGTCCGGTGTGGTGCGGTGCTCGGCGAGAGGGTGAGGGGGGAGCTGCCAGTAGGAGGTGGTGGGATTAGGGACTGGGAAGCCCGGATGCACGTTACCGCCGCCCATTATTATTGTGTATTTGTTTGTGTTAAGTCGATGTACCAGAAGTTATGATTTGTGATGCCTTGGGATTCTGTTGACAACATCGGGAATAGTGGGAAATATAGTCGGGTGATTATATAGAACTTGAGATCCAGGCACCAGTATAGCAACGGACAAATGCTCCGGACCTAGGACCTATAGCACGAAGAATGCAGGACTCGTATACAACGGTCGGCAAAAGCCACGTCATGGTTGACGATTAGAAAATATCTTTCGGCTCTGAAGGTAATTTTATTGGCCAGTTCGTGATATTTCTGGAGACCAATTCATGTCTTCACATATCATGCATTGAGTGGTGGCGCTTGTCGGGTAGAGAATATCATATCATTTTCTTTTCGATTCAAGTTTCCTAGCGGCAATTGGACTCAAGCTGATTTGTAAGACGATAATCTTTCCAATCCGTGTCTCCGGTGTTTTGAGGTCGCATGAAGCCATGGCTGTTGATTCAAACGGAATTTCAATCCACATGGAGAAGGACCAGGCACCAGGAAATAGTGCCAGCTTCATAATTCAATTAGTTGTCATTGACGCGGCAATATTCGATGAGCTCAGAGACTGCAAACATCAGGATCATGGCAGGGAAGGGATTTAATGGAATCGTTATTTTATCAATACAATGCAATGCTATGCTATTACTGCGACAGAGCTGTTTCGTCGTCGATTGGAATGGAAAACAAAAGCCAGTGATGGAGTGGCTAGGCAGCAGATATCCGTCGTGACTACTGGAGACTAAACATTGAGAGTTTCCATGGTGCAGGAAATATCATATTGCTTCATTGGTCAAAAACGTATACGAATCAGTGTAACATTGCCGTCAATCGTTTTACAAGTATTAAATTACACTTCTATGATGCCGTCTAATGACTTCGACATTGGCAAGAGATTAAAACTAATATCTTCATTATACACTCATCCAGACATATGCCCCGAGACCCATACCCAGGAATATGACGGTGAGAATGCCAGCACCGGCCCTATCGGCAGTGGTGATGTCGGCCAGGGCCGTAAAGTGGCTGTCGAGGTCAGACCCGGCGTTGGGGTCACCTTTACTCGTGCCGCCGGTGGTGTTGGTCAGGATGCCCGTCCCGGGCGTCGGCAGGAGGCTGATGAGCGAGGCCAGGACGCTCATCTGCTGGCACGCCCCCGTCGTGCCGTCGTACGACCCCGACGACCACTTGAAGCCGCACATGCGGCCGTTGGTCCCGCCGGTGCACTGGTTCACCGCCGACTGGGCCGACGTCTTGAGGATCGGCGTGATCTGCTCCGACGTGTACGAGGCCAGGTAGGCCGTCGACTGCAGCCAGCGGTGCAGGAAGCCCTTGAACGACAGCATGTCGGTCGTGCAGGTACCTCCGAACTCGCAGGCCGGCTCGACGGCTGTGCCGTCGGGGAAGAAGAACTCGAGAGTTCTGGGTAGGAGCAAGTCGATCTTTTCCTTCCATGTGTCGGCCTCGGTCTGGAATTTGGTCAGCGACAAAATGCCCCCTTCGATCCGCTTTCCGGCGTGCGCGCGCAAAGACTTACCATGTTGTATAGGTGGGCCAACCCTTGAATAAGTAAGGCGGCATTGTATGAGAACTGTGCCTTGTTAATATCCTTGCAATCCTCTTCTTCGTGCCCACCATCATAGATATTGCCGTCAGCGTCGATATAAGCGACATCCACCAACATATCGTAAGTTTGGCCGACCACCTCGGCCAGCGTGTCGTTATCAAAGTAACGGGCCAGACGGGCCCCAATGTTGAAGTAGCACGTGTTTGCAATAGTGTTGATATAATCCCAGCCATTGTTATACTGCATAGCCTGCCAGCGCAACAAGCCCGAACAGCTACCCGAGTATGTGCGTCGGCTCGGGTCGGTCTGCTCGTTGAATACGGCCTGGGACAAGGCGAGCCAGTCCAGGTCCGTGTCCGCGGCCGGATCAGTGAAGCCAGTCTCGGCGGCGACGAGAGTTGCGAGCGCCCAGAATGCTTGATCATCGTTGCCCATGGACGCCGACCAGTTTGACGGCATGTAATCATGTTGGTCGCCCACCTGATGCACCAAGGCTTGCATGATTGTGTCGTCGTATGATTTGTCGTCGGTATAGAAGCGGTAGTCCAGTAAGGTGCCCCCTAACAATCAATAAGATGTGAGCCATCTCTAGACGCACAATTTATCTTGGGGCGACAGAACGATGACTTGAGAAAAGTTGCCTACACATAGCACCACCAATCCACCAGTAATAGTCACCATCTGGTGGAGGTCCTGGCAAGATACCTGGCGTCATTCCCGGCTGGTCGCCAACATAGAATGATAGCAAGTCTTCGGCAACTTGCGAAGCGGCTTGTTTGATGGATGCTATAGTGATGACCGCAAAGGTTAGCGCAACCCAAAAATCGAGACCCTTCATGCGCGCGCTCGCGGGCGGGTGGGCGCAAAGTTTAGTAGCGGAACATGCCTTCATCGTCTAGGTCGACCTCGAGCGCGGCCAAGACTGGCGTGGAAGCCAAGAAAAGGCCCTTCAGCGCCCACGAAGTGAAGCGTCGCGCCATTGCGAAAAACGTGCTACTCTTTTCATCAAAGGAAGAAGTAAAAGCAGCCGAAAGATTCAAGTGTCTTGCTTCCGGACTGTTGCGACACGCCGTAGTGGGGGACGACGAATGGCGAGGCAAGGAAACACGATCATTTCTTGAAGCAAAAGCAAAAAGCAACGGGACACTAGACGGGGAGCGAACGAAACAGACAAATCCAATTCACTGGCGCCGCTGACAGTGACAGATTGAGCGAGCGTGGCGAAGCAAGGAGCACAGAGCGCAGGGTACCTGAATGCCAAGAATGAAAGCGAACCAAACGATCCCGCGATGTGCATATTTTAATCTAATCCCACACAGACAGGTGAGTTGGTGCTTGCCCGTTTCTCACATGATAAGCTAGTGAAGGATTCACCCGGGGTGGGAACGAAAGAGTGAGGGGGGAGCGATACCCCAATGGAATGCTGTCATTTCGTGGAGTGATGAAGGATTCAAGAGTAATTGCTCCTACTTACACAGCCATTATTTCTGGGTAAACAGGATCACAATGAACTACAGATACGCCTACAATGACTGGGAGGGATTCCCGATCAGCTGCCAACTTCAATGCAAACGTACGGCTAGCGATCAATGACTGACCTGGCAGCTAGATCGAAGGCAGCATCGCACTTGTTCAAAGGCCCGGAATACCTAGCGTTGGAAATAGCCTGGGCATACCCCGTATAAGCTTAACCTTGTCCTTAAGACCCAGTTGATCCACTGTACAAGCTGGGAAAAGTGTAGATCATCGCACTGTCGGTACCGAATAGCAGTACGAACGGGTCCTAACTCCGAGAAGATTGCTGTAAATATCAATTCAATGCCAGTGATTATCCTACTATACTCCTCTAATTGTTATTAGTCTGAAGGGACTATATCATTATGGTTATGATCCCGCGGCATTCCGCTTCCCAGTCAGTGGTTCTAACCTAGGCTGTTCCTCAAGACTTCCACCGGGATAGTATGTGATCGAGAAAGGGATAGCGCATGAACCAGTGTAAGCCATTCATCTCCGAGGTGTAACGATTCTCAGCACCCCATGCGTCGTTGCCTATGCAATTAGCAATAGATCAGAATATCATCGTACGCAATGCGAGGAAGTATTGATGATGAGTCCTCGTAATTCTTCATATAACTTGCACATTACCTGTGTACCACAGTCAATGACTCCAGAGTTGGATTATGTTTTCCAATTGCTGATTGAATTTTGAGAATACTATGTATGACACGGACAATTTCGAGCCAATCCCATTCTCAAATTGGATCATACACGAAGTTCTATGACTCGTTTGCACTGCCAGAGGCACCAAGCAAGAACCAGATATGAATGATTGCTTTCCCCCATTCCCATGAATCTGTACAGATTGCTAACACTGATATATTCTAGTCCACCTAATGGACGTTGGTCTCTTCCCTCTCCCGCTAGTCACAAACCTGAATGCTATGACTAACAGCAACCCGCTTCCATAAGTCGCGCACATATCATCAACCTCGTCGCCGACCACGACTGAGAAGGCTACAAACTACGTAATGATGCTTTCCAAGCAGAAGTAAATGAATATAGTATACAATAACAGCAGCTCATCTCAACAACAAGTCATCACGTGATGCCCCATGGCGCAATTGGCTAGCGCGTCAGACTGTTATTCCTACTCAGGAACCGTCAATCTGGAGGCTCTGAGTTCGACCCTCAGTGGGGCAGCAACCTTTCTTTTTCCCAGTCAAGTGGATTGAATAATGTTTTGCTACCATTGGTCCTTTGTATATACTGGTCTCAGTCGTATTGGATGTATAATGGTCCATATATTGATATGGTGGTTGAGCCATTTGCTTGTTTTTGACCTCGTCTCTAAATACGCACCAACATGTGGGAAACTACTCTTCTATGGACCAATTGGTAATTTTATCCCAAATTTGTATACAACGTTTTGGCGATTCGACATAATTCAACAGGCCTGCGGAGGATTTGCATGGCGATTCTCCTACCAATGACGAACAGCCGTGATAGTTTACAAATGATCATACATGCATGAACCTAAAGCTAGATCAAGAGACATAGCCGAATTGATAGACAATGCAAGCTGAGACGACATATACTGTGGTAAAGATAGACTACTACTGGGGTATGTATACTTCTCTTGTCAAATAATTCTAAACCTGCTTCAGCGCGAGTCATGAAAGAAACCGCACCATCGGATGAGATCATCGTCGGAATCGTCAATCTCGAATTCCCGAAAGCTCGACCGGCCGCTAAACGGAAAGAGAGAGAAAAAAGTCCCCACAAGGCGTCAATCAAATCACCAGACAGACACACCGCCGTCACTGTTGGCTTGAACGGTTTGCTGCATCAACAAACCTTCTTTGTCTTTATATATCTCTACCCTTTTTCACTCAAGGGGCGGACTTTTCCATGCTAGAACCACATAACATGGGTTGTCTAGAGGAGGGCGATCAAAGAAAACATGTCTCCAGAGCCGTGTCATCAGCGGTCTGCCCACTACCACCACCACCGCTGCCGCTGGAACTCTGGATCGAGATCCTCGGGTACCTGACGGACAAGGAGCACCTCCCGACGTCCTGGCAATCGTGCCGCCGCGTCAGCCGCCTGCTCAAGGCCGCGGCCGAAAAGGCCTACCTGTACGCGTGCATCCGCAAGTGGAAAGTCCATCTGAAGCTCGGGTACCGCAGGCTGGCGCGCCGGCCCGGCCAGGTCGAGGGCAACGGGCGGCGCTCCCCCGTGACGGCGCTCCTCCGGTTCCAAAAGCTGGCGTACGCGACTGAGGGCGGTGATATGGCGGGACAGGAGGGGCAGCAACGGGTATACTTCCACGACCCGGAGATGCAGCCGCCGCCCTGGGGTCTCATCGACGAGCAGCTCCGCGACGACGACGGCGACGACGACACGGCGCTCGTGGTGCGGTGCGGCGCGCGCGGGCCCCTGGAGCTCGTGGTCGGGTCCGGGGCCTACAACCGTGGCTCGCTCGACGTCATGCTGGACATTCCGGACCCGGGGGCGTCGCTGGCGGGGGTCGCGCTCCAGGTCGATCGGGACCGCCGGACCGTCTCGTGTCTGTGGCAGCCGCTCCTCAGCACGTTTCTGTGCAACGCGCACGAGGGGAACCCGTATGCGTTTTATGGTACTTATGGCAAGAAGAAACCTGGACGTATCGTGCGAGGTGTTTGAGTTGGCTTTGAAGGGCGTGTGGTGGTGGTGTTGTGTTGGGGAACATTTTCTTTTCTACCAGTGATACCCAAAGAACGTATAGAAGCCGCAGCAGAGATTGCATCGGGAGGTACATGTTGGAGATGAGTTACGACATAGAGATGGGCATATTTACAGAACATTTAGACACTTAGAGAAGTCAAGCTTGGATAGAATTTATAGACACGCGTTAGTCATTCACAAAGGCCCTTCCATATGTAGCATGGCGAAATTGTATAGTGGAAGTGATTGTATAATCATGACCTACCGATATATACTTACCCCTTGATCTATTGGCATATATTAAAGTGCCAGTGCTGTAAATTCCTCTTGTGACCAGCACGTTAGAAAGTCGATCCCTGAAATTGTTCAACCAGATCATACCAGCTCTTGTTCTCACGCAACACCGCAGAGCACGGGGCCACAAACCTCTTGTCGCAGAGACATCTGCAATGATGATGGACCTTGCTAAGATCCAGAGAATCCGGCGTCTTCTCGTAGATGCACGCCTTTTCGGCAGAGAATCCAAGTGGCTTGAGGCAGAAATGTTGATAGCACTTCTCCGAATGGCCAGGCTTTTCAGATTCTTTGCTGAAATGGACCACCCTTCTTGGCTTTGTTGCCGTGGTCTTCTGGGAAGGATCCCTTGCCGGGTGAACAGCAGCCTGCTCACTTGCAGCGATCTCGTTCTTACCTGACAGTGCCGCAGCCAAGAGACCCTCTGTTGCGCGATCCTCCTTGTTTACCGTCTCCCTGCGGAAAGGGAGCGGGCTGGAAGTCTTGCCACTCACATACAAGTCATCGTCGTCGTCATCGGAATCTTCTATGGCCGTGGAATCGCACGACCCTGTTGCTGACCAGTCGCTTTTTTCGACCAATGTCCCCTTTGAGCCATTAGCTGGTGCCAGCCTACTAAACACTCTTCCCTCGGATGCTGGCAGACATGCTGGTAGGGAGCTCATTGTACAAGAGAGAGAGAATATTTCCTGCAGGCTTGCAGTGGCCCAAACGAACATGCCAGTGTTCACTTGGCCTACCCAAACGGTGATGAGCAATGCACCGGGCAATTATACTCTGTATAGAACAATGAGCTTTGTATTTGGACAAAAGATATCGATTATGTGATATGTGATTGGGCAGTTGAAAGCACAAGGATATTTTCGGCGTGGAGGCTTTGTCTACACAAATGACTGTCTTTTTACCCAACGTCCATAGAGAACAACTCGGAAGCGAATCTTGAACTTGCCCCCCAGTAACGAGAATAGCACCAACTGCACATGTAAGCGAGCTCGACTTCTCAATCATTGTACCGATCTCGTCGCTAATGAGTACTACCGCCCATCTGAAATGAAACTATCATGAAGGCGGCAACAAGGAACATGGGCGTTGCTAGAACGGGAAAGAAGCTCCAAGACGACTTGAGGCTCATTTGGGCGCGCTTCTGACTTCAATGCCTCGAATTCCTGATTCCAATTTTGTGTGTGTCAAGTCTTCTATAGCATTCTCGCATAATCATTCAAGGAACTGATGAACGCCTGAGATTAAATTGTAATAATACCACTCTGCGTCTGGAAGAGACCAAAAGTCAACTCCCAGTCCCTGGGTATTCCTCGATTGTGAGTGAATATCATGCCCATTCTCGTCGAAGGTATCGACTTCAACCTGTTGAACTCCTGAAAAACCATGCCCATTACGTGTCTTTTTTCTTTCCTCAAAATTCCAGCAAATTAGACGGTCCCGCTAATGCTCAATTCTCTAATTTCCTGCAGAACTTGCTCCACCCGTCCGTCAAGTTGACCATTTGCATATTGGTCTCTCGTGTCGGCATCGAGGTATTGCTGTACTTGTGCCATTCGGCTGTAGGCTTCGGCGCAGAATCTTAGCTGAATCTTGACGAGAGCCTCGAAGCTGGGGTCTAGGTATGGCACTCTAAGGTCGATGAGCTGGGGAAGTTCGCTAGACAGTTGTTCATTGAGTTGTTCGTAGGCGGCTCGGGCGATTTCCATCTCCTTCTCCGTACGAGGAAGCTTGGTAACGTCCTTGTCGGGCTTCTCGGCCAACTTCTTGACCTTGGCACGTAGCGCATCGTAATCCAGTAGTTTGTGGCCGCGTTTCTTGATGCCTGGGTACGATTCTTGATCAGTATATTTGCAGCGCAAAGTCAAAGTTGTCAGGCCTGGCTTACATTCATTCACATCTGGGAAATATGCGCAGAATCGATTTATCGGCTCGAGGACAGTGGTTCTAGATGATTGTTAGATGTTTCCTTGCGCATGGGCTCATGCCGTGTCAAAAAATACCTGTAGGGTCCGTCCAGTGCCTTGATGGTCTCGGCGTCGAGATCCTCCACTGCTTGCTTGTAACTCCTGCTGACGCCGTCCTTTGCGCCCGCATCTCCATAAAATGCGTCAATGGTCTCGGCGATACGCATCTGCGAGGCAGTCATGGCTCTGAGAGAGTCGAGGTATCCCTTGGCTTCCTTCTGTAGACGGAGCGAGGCAGCTTCCATGGTTCGGAATCGGCGCTCCTCCACCTCGTAATCGCGGTCGTTTGTTTTCTCGACATGACCCGTCTTCATCATAACCTGCGTCGTTGCGCGGTTGACATTCTTTTTGAAGCCTACATGATTAAAAACCCAAGTCAATCACCCATGTCCATTCCAACCAGGAGTTTGCCAACTCATGGGTCGTATATAAGGACGTACCTGCCCACGACATGTTTGCGGTGGATGTTTCGAGATTGGCTGGATTCGGGGGTTACGTTCGTAGCTGGGAAGTAATCCGTAAGGTTTGGGTATCGTTAAAAAGCGTCAGGAATGCAGAGCGCTGCGAAAGAGGGAGCGCAATCGAGGAACGTCGTAAAAAGCGCTGAGAAGTGTCGTAGTCGTCGCAAAATGGTTGTCAGCAAGACAGATGAGCGAAAATCCAGGGTTGCCTGACGTCTCTCGATAGGTTTGGTTCTTGGGCTGCGCTTCCTTTGGTGGGCTGTGAACATTGATCGAAGGGGGGGTGGGGCTCCATCAGTTACGTACACAAGCCGTGCAAAGGCAAGTTTCTCGTGGCTGAGTAACATTTGCACAACTGCCCAAAAGCCGGTCACCCGAATGCCTGGGCCATTGAAGCGCTAAAAAGGCCACTAAAATCAGCAACGACGTCAGTGCTGGTGAGAGATCTTGTGCCACATCTGCGCTTTCTGATTATTGCCTTCATCAGTCGATCTGTTACTGCAAGTAAACAAGCCTTAGAGCCAGTAGATTTGCTCACCTACGATTTAAAAGTATAGCACTGATCCATACCATCATATCAGTCACAAATTTGATAATGAATCTAGGAACGGGTCACGACTGAGCGGCCATACTGAACTCGAAGCTGCACGTCCATTGTGACAGGGTACTTACTACCTTCTTAGGGGTCTGCCGGCAGTAGTACCATAGTATTACCCAGGTACCCGAACGCGACGCGCATTCTAATTTGTAGCTGAAATTTCTGAGTAAAAGCCGT